CAGTGCGAAAGTTTTATCTTATTTTATTTATATTTATTTATTACTTATCAAACATCCTGCATATATTATATATATTTACATACATACTTGAGTATTTATATTTTTATACTCTCGTATCCGTCCAAGCTCATACATAATATTACAATTTTTGTTCAATTTAAAAAAAATTGAAATTGCTTTAAAGCATTTTAAAGTTTGAAATCTCTTCAGATTAGTACTTTAGAAAGTCTTACTGATATTTTATGGAATTACACAAACATAAACGAAGATGCATAAAATCTCAAAATTTTTTATGAAATTTGCGAAGTTGCACGGCGCCAATTAAAAATTGTGCACAAATGGGATTCACAGCTATCGATTTTTTTTTTAAATTATTCAACAAAAAAGATCGTTTTTACTTCAATGTTGAATTACTCGGTGAAAAAAAATCGTATAAAGGTCTATAAAAAAGCAAATTAAAGGTAAAGATTCACTCTTTCGATAACTATGAATCTCATTTGTGCGCAATTTTTAATTGGTACCGTAGAACTTTGCAAATTCGTAAAAAATTTTGAGAATTTATGCAGCTTCGTTTATGTTTGTGTAACTTCACATAATATCAGTATGACCGTTTTATCCACAGATCTCCCATAAAACTTTTAAACTCAACCTGTTCCTATCCGCCACGTTGCGGCATGACAAACTCTAGATCATATACTTACGAACAAGCCATGAAGACTCTCACACAATTCTCTGAAAGATAGAAACAGAAATACATAAATCTTGTCTCTCATAAAAATGTCTCTCACAATCTTCTCTATTTAATATCAAGGACCTATTCAATAAAGACTTGTCTCAAGACATTATATCTGCATTTGGCACATGCATTATATTGCATTTGGACAAAGACCTAAACTTCGCAGTGACTTCCAAAGGAAGAGATTATCAGCCAAATAGAATCAACCATCTACTCTCATCAGAACAAGCAGATAACATTCGCAGACAGATAACTAATATTCTTTCCAAACCTTCTCAATCAAATATCACTAGATAAGAGCGATTGGCCCTCCAAAACTTAAACAGGGACACAAATTTCATTGTACTTTTAGCCGACAAAGACAACACGACAGTAGTCATGAATATATCAGACTATAAGAAAAAGAAGAATCTTTTCTCGGACAAAGTAGACAAAAAACTTGATAAAGATCCAATTAATTCTCCACAGAACATTCTAGTGGAGAAAAGCAAAATTCCTAGTAAAACCAAATCACTATCAAACCTATAAATCTTCTCTCACCAAGACTATACGACTACCAAAAGTACACAAACATCTTCCTCAAATCGATTGTCACAGCACCATACACTCCTTGATATACAACTTCTCTGGTAAAAATTTTTTTCATAATTTTTACGAATTGGACCATTTTTCAGAAATACTCAGAAATGTTCGGAAAGTTTTCATCTTCTCTCAGAACTTCTCTTCACAAGTGAATTCTGAAATATTCTGAAATTTCTCATCTCATAATTTTTAAAAAATATTTTTAAATTTTTTAGATTTTGTAACATTTCATTAGAAATTACAAAAAATTTACAAAAAAAATCTTAAAAATCTTACGATATTTCATAATTAACATACATGAAAAATTCTGAGAAAAGATGTAGATTTTCTGAAAAATATTCCAATTCGTATAAAAAATGAGAAAGTTATAAAATTATAGAGAAATTCTGAAAAATTTCATAGAAATTCTAAAAAATCATATGAAAAATTCTAAGAAAAATTTTCACCAAGGTTATCTCGCTTCCTAGCATAAACATTACAACCTCTCACTCAGAAAAATCCGGACACACATTAACCAATTCAACTTCATACAAAAAATCTGACTACATTTCACAGATTTGCTTGTAAGTTTCAATGTAGAATTCCTTTTCACACTTTAAATTCCAATAAAAGACACATTAAATATAATAAATTCACATGAAGTCCTCTCCGATCTCATCCTGCTAATAGAGTACTGCTTAACAACTACTTACTTCTTCTATAACAATCAATTTGATGAACAAACTTCAGGAGCGGCGATGAGCTCTTCTATTTCACCTGCAATCGCTAACCTTTGCTAATCTTCATATAGCATTTTAAGAAAGAGGCCATCCAAAAAACCAGAAATTTGATTCCGTTATGTATACGATACATTTGTGATATGGAGACATGGTAAAGCCGAATTCCGTAAATTCTTTATTTTTCTCAATAATCAACATCCAAATACTCACTTCATTATAGATATAAAGGAAAACTCCCCTTCCTAGATGTTCTTGTCTCTAAGAAAGCTGACAGTACCTTAGATCATCAAGTGTACAGAAACCTAACACACACAGATAGATACTCACATGCCGAGTTGCACTACCTAGCACAAAAATAGTCAACAATCAACTCACTTGTATAATACATAAAGACTTTCATCATCTCTGATAAAGAACATCTACAGACAGAATTCGATCATCTAAAACTAACCTTACAGAAAAACGAATACGACAAAAAAGACATAATTAAAATAATCAATAAACATGCAAACAAAACAACGATCTCTGATATACAACCAGATGAAAGGATCCTATCCATTCTCTCATATGTCAAAGAAACAACAGATTCGAATGGCAGGATATTAAACAAATACAATATTTGAACTATCTTCACACCATCCAAAAAAGATAGGACAAATCTTAAGAAATCCTAAAGATCAAAAACCTCTACTCAGTTCCGCAGGAATATACAAAAATATCTTATTTCTGCGGGCAAATATACATTGGGGGAATGGAACCTACGAATAAAAGAACACCAACGTGATGTCAGGCTAAAACACGCCACGCAATTATCAGAATATAACATCGATACAGGACCTCAAATACTGTTTGACAAAAACGATCACAATAGCCAACATTACATCATACTTTTCAAGAAAGTATAAGAGAAGCTATAAAGATACAAAAACACCCTAAACAATCTAAATAGAGATAAAGGTTAATAAATAAAATATGGAAGACCATTCTCCTAGTTGAAGATCGACCAATTTCCCCCACCTCTCATCTTCTCCACTCACAATTTTTTTTTGTTCCCCACAACTCCAACAAGCAATATAATATAAAAGGAATGGTCCCGAGGAACAGCTCAGATTATTGCTCGCCCTGATGAAGTGGACTGCAAAGTTGACGAAACGTTGGCATTTCAAGAATAGATCTGGAGAAAAACCCATAAATCGCATAATTGTTTTATAATATGTATTTTTCAAAAATGTTGATTTTCGATAGTTCAAATAATTATACTTTTTTTTGAGCAATTCATATCGTACTATTTTTTTTTGTTAGTTCAAAGGTTTAACCAAAAAAATCCTACTGGAACAACTTAAATTAAAAAATTTGAGAATTTTTTATCCAAAGTAATTATTTTTTGCGAATTTTGTCAATAAAATTTTTTTGAAGCATTGTAATTAATTGAAAATGAAATATTATTTATTTGATTCATATTTATCTGTCTTCATCTGACTTTGAGGTAGAAATTTCATGAGCTAAAAAATATTGAGTCCAGAGATATAATGTGACAGGACACATCACATACTCTGGTGAGGCCGGGAGGTAACCAAAAATGATCATGGCCTATTAGAGTTAAATAAGAAAACTTTTTTATTGCCAGTTATATCAAGCACAGTCGATGTGAATCAAATCAAAAAAATACAAAATGATTCGTAAAAAGATTAGTTGGAAAGCACTAATTAATTTTTTTGTAACAAATGTTCTAATATATGAAAAATATAATCTAATTAACGTGATACAATATTCGCATTTTATCCACTTTGGAAATAATTTCTAAATCATTGAGGCATAACTGATAGTGATTTTATAACGATGCGAATAATGATTTCATTCATTTTATTTTAATGTACCGATGTTTTCTTAAGTTTAGCGTTATTATAATGATTATTTTTGGTTTCTACGAAGGAGAAAACATAGAAATTAAACGATCCCCACGAAACTTTGCCGAAAACGGCCGATTAAAATCGAATAAAATGTAATCCATTTTAATTGGTTGTAATCAGTTTTAATCGGTTCAATCCACACTCAGATTAAAAAATAATCGGTTTCAATTCCAGAAGAATCGTATCCGAATTCATCACGTTTTAATTCATATTGTTATCAATCCAAACAGATCCGATTAATCGAATGAATATGTAATCCAAAATAATCTGCTCGAATCGTATTTATTATATTTTTTTTGTAACGGCTCAATTCATTTCAATTACAGGAACATTGATTCAATTGGTTTTAATTCTATTTCCTAAAAAAGACGACATTAATCCGGTTGAATTCGAAGTTCTCCGATTTCGGGGATGAAAATAAACTCGGATCTAAGGAGCTTTAATACACAACTAGGTAATCAAATTTGCACTCACCAACAAAAGCAGATTCAATCAAAATTTCTCCAATTTTGCGAGCGATATTAAAATCTGTTTTAATGCAACGAGGATTAATTTTTTTCGTATCCGCGGTAAAAGTATTCGACTCATTTCCACCAAATAATATATGTTATGTCGTAATTAAATATTAAATATTAAATATTAAATATTTTTATCGCGTACTTTGTAAGACATGAGATATATAAATAATTTTGAAATCATTAAAGTTAAAAATGATCCTTTTGATCGAATTTTTTTAGACTAATAGCATTTTTTTGTTTAATGGAGACATAAGAATTTAATTTTTATTTCTATTACTTGTAATGATAAAAATAAAATTTTACAAGTAAAAATACGTACAAGTAAAAACATATTGACAATTTTTACCGAAAAATCGGAGAAATTCTGATTGAATTGAACTATTTTTGTCAATTATGACAAAATCGGATTTATGTTGCATTAAATCTGATTTAATTTTCAACCATTAATTGAGAGAATTCCGAATCGGATATTTTTTGCTGATCATGACAAAATCAGATTCTCGTTACATCAAAATCGATTTCATTATCGTCCGCAAAATCAGAGAAATTTTGATTAAATAGGATTACTTTTGCCGGTTACGAGAAAATCGGATTATTGTTTCATTCCAAAACGGATTCTAATATCATCTGCAAAATCGGAGAAATTCCGATTGAATTACTTTTGTTGATTATAACAAAATTGGATTCAGATTGCATTAAATACGATTTCGTGGAAAAGGAAATTTATGATTAAAACAGATTCATATGATCCAATTATTATAATAATAAGTATAAAGCGCATTAGATCCAATTTATTTTCAATCGTTTCAAAATCCTATTTTCGATGCAAGAATCCCAATCGATACAGATTACTTTTGTTTTAATCGGTTTTAATCGACTGTTTTTGGCAGGGAATCCTCGAAAATTGATATTTTCCTTTCAATAATATTTAATTTAAATAATGGACATATCATCCACATGTATTAGATGTACAACTTTGTTTCCGTCGTTTTTTTTCCGAAATTCGAGGCTTTATTGTAAAAAACTGGTTATACATTTATGATTCAAAGTATTGTCCATCGCCACTACTTTCTCCCACCTTTCGGGTAGCGTACGAATCCCGCGTCGAAAAAACTGGTCATCTTTTGAGGCTATCCACGAATCGATCCAATTTTTTACTTCTTCATAAGACCGGAAGTGCTGGTCAGTCAGGTCATGTGCCATTGATCGAAACAAGTAATAGTCAGAGGGAGCAACGTCTGGAGAATACGGCGGGTGTGATAGGACTTCTCATTTCAACGTTTCCAAGTATGTCTTGACTACTTTCGCAACGTGGGGTTGAGCATTGTCATGCTGCAAAATCATTTTATCGTGTCTCTCGTTGTATTGTAGCCGTTTGTTTTTCAATGCTCGGTTCAAACGCATCAATTGCGTTCGATACCGATTGCCTGTGATTGTTTCAGTTGATTTTAACAGTTCATAATACACTACGCCGAGCTGGTCCCACCAAATACAGAGCATGATCTTGGACGTCAAAATCACCGTTCTTGAAACGTTGAAACCACTCACGACACGTTCTTTCACTAATAGCGGCCTCACCATAAGTATTTGAGAGCATTCGATGAGTCTCAGCCGCAGATTTCTTCATATTGAAGCAAAAAATTAAAACCTCCCCCAAACGACGAGAATTTGGCTCGTAAACTGACATTTTCAATCGAGAATAACTTTATGATGCAGACACAAATCGACTGATAATGATTAATGTTTCTATGGGGTTATGTTGACAGATGCCCAAGTTTATTGTATGACGTCTATGATCTATTTATTTCGACCACCACTTACCGCTAAAGCCATCTATAGGAAAACGGCGGAAGCAAAGTTGTACACCTAATATTAGTGCAGTGTAATACAAAGAATTTGTTTTTGTTTCAGAGAATGAAGCAAAAACATTATATTTTTACGTACCCATGAGTATTACTATCATTAGTAACGTTTTTTTTTTCATCTGCACAACACTAACGATTCTGCATCAGAAAATGCATACAGCTAGTGAGTTGAGACATTCGGAGAGCAAGCGCCATGATGAAAATAAACAGAGGTATATATAATTAAAGGCGATTTTGATCAACTCCGATTAATTTGAATCGGCGATTGGAATTGATCAATCGTATTTGTTATTTGATTTAACGATGGATATGTTTGATCAATAAACTAATCGTTGATTAAAGTTAATTGGAGTTAATCGAAGTGGCCCTAAAAGAATTAATGTTATTCAATATACTCGCATTTACAAAAACTGCATGATGTACAGTTAATTGATACTAAAGGAAAAATTTATTATTATTATTTTTACACATACTTAATAATAATAGTAAAAAGTTGAAAATAATTTTAAAATAATTTAATTTTAATTTTAATTTTAACCAATAAACTAAATTTTAATCACAGAAATTTCAAAATTTCTTTTAATATAAAAAAAAAAATAATATTTAACATAATAAATAAGACATAATTAAAAAGACCAATAGCCATATTAGAATAATAAATTTAAAAATAATTATTTTATTAAAAATGAATTGAAAATGAAACTACAAGAATTATCTGCATGATATGCAGATCACCCAATACTTCTTACATAGGCAATATAATTATTTCATAAATTATTAAGATAATAATCATTATATATGTAAGTATACGATATTAACGCTTCTGAATTTTCTGATTCTATATATACCTATCTGCATTACATATACATATAATTTGTTTTAAAGAAGCAGACATGTATATCCACTTACAAATAGCCTCACATATATCAATTATATTTGCCTTATAGTTTCTATTTATAATAAGACAATTGCTCTCAGAGTTTAATGT